CGAGAAAAATCTTTAATAGAACCCAGTTTCGTTTTGAAAAATATAAGAATAAAGAGAAGGTTCGATTCCGTCGACAAGACGACTAGTCCTTTTACGATTTTTTCATTCGTTTCGATGATAGATTGATACTAGCATATACCAAAAGTCAGATCCGCTAACAGCATCCTTCTAAGCAATCTTCAAAGTGGGGGGCATCAATGTCTCGTCAGGGCGATCGTTGCTGAAGGTTGCTACTGTTCGAGCTAATTCTGAATGTCTTTGAGACAGCAGTACAGAGCAACAGATCAGCACAAAGAAAAATGAACTGGATGCCTTTGTTTCTCGTTGCAACTGGAAACGAAAAGGGTCGAGTTTGACATCATTGCCTTCAACGCAGTGCTTTGGAAGAGATGGATACGGTTCGTTTGGTTCAGTACCTCAATGATTCTCGGCCATTTAGATGATATTTTTCAGAGTAGCAGATTGGTGCGGCATAACAAGGTGTTCAGCATCGATAAGAAGGATAACTCAGTTCACGAGCCAGCAGCAGCAGCAGCAGCAAATGCGTTACCACCACCTGATCCGGAGGAAAAGAACCAACAGAAAGTTCAGCCAGCTCCCGCTGCCAGTCCAGCTCCAGTCACCATCACACCATTATCTAGGAAAGCTCAGGCAGTGGACGAGGCAATTCCTGTGACTGAGACAAAATGGCAATATTTTCGCAAAAAATGGGTATTGGATACAAAAGACGAGTTTTATTACTACTGGCTGGGCACTTTATCGTGCGCATTTGCCTATAATCTAATTGTTGTCATTGGTAAGTGCTTCCAAAAATACGTGTTTGCACGAGGGCACATCCGGGCAGAAAACAGGCTTGTGAGCTACTGCAAATGGAAAGCGGTAAAATCGACAATTTGGGATGGAAATTTTTAAAAAACTTTTAAAAACAAAAGTTGAGGAAAAAACTGAATAAAAATATTTTTAGACGAGGAAAAAAGTGCGAGAAAGTTTTTGAGAAAGGACAAAAAATTGGGGGAATAAAAGGAATGAAGTATTTGTACTAAAAAAAGAACATTACTGTACTCCAAAGTTATTGAGAAGGAATATGCTTCTGGAAAAATTAGGAAAGTACTGGCTTAGGGTTAGGCATCTGCGCCTAAGCCTAGATCTGGGCCTTAACCACTATCAATGCTGCTTGAGTTAATTGGGGCAAGAGATTTCTGTTGAATACGCTGAACAGATGCGACTTCTACTATCTTAAATATAATAGAAAGTTATAATAGGAAAGAATGGAAAAAAGCGAAAAAAAGGAAAAGGAAGGTAAAAAATGAAAATTTGAAAAACTAAGGCCTTGGCGTCAAAAAGGAAACCAAAAATGGGTTTTCATTAGGGGTACCCCCTGCTAGAAATGTTACTAGAATATTCCCACAGACCGATTAAAGTAAGCATCCAGCAAAAAAGTAGATTTTTCTTTCAGCGCGATCCGTCTTTCATGAACTCGCATCCGGATATTACTGGATTGTATGGGTAGTTGTGGATTTCATAATGGATAGTATTTATGTTTTTGATATGTTCGTCCGTTCTAGAACAGGTTAATTTCTTAACATTCAGTCATGAGACTTGAACACTTTTCATTCCCCGTTCTTTTGACGTTTATGTATTATGACTTTTGTATATTTCTGAATTTTCTTCAGGATTTTTGGAACAAGGACTGCTTGTGAGAGACATTCCACGAATCAGAAAGCTATATTTCAAATCAATGCAG